AGTCCTGGTGTGGCACTGTGGACTAATGCATCAGACTGCAAAGTCATTTGAACTGCAAGGTCAGTGGTTCAAGCTCACTAGCTGCTCCTCGGAATCCCTGTACAGGGTTGCTATGGGTCAGAATCAACTCTACGGCACTTAACAACAACAACAAAGCATTTAACTCACTTCTCTATTCGTTCATCTGAAGCTCAGGATTCTAGGACTATCATTTGCATCTGTTTCATTTCGTTTTCCTTGTCTTTGTTGTAGAGGGTCTGTATAGCATTTCTGCGTAGTCTGCCATCTTGTCGCCCCTCTAGCTTAAGAACATTTTTGTAAAAGTTTTTGTGTAGACATGTTTATATTTCTCTTGGAGTGGAATTGGTAGGTCTTCAAAAGTCAGCAGTTCAAATCCACCAGCTGTTCCATAGGAGAAATATTATTAGGCTGTATGAGTCCTGGTGTGGCACTGTGGGTTAATATGCCAGACTGCAAAGCCGTTTGAACTGCGAGGTTGGTGATTCAAGCTCACCAGCTGCTCCTCGGAAATCCTATAAAGGGTCACTGTGGGTTGGAACCTACTCGATGGCACTTAACAACAACAACACGTTCCTGTGAAGATTTACAGTCTCAAAAATCCTAAATAAGGTTTGCAAGAAGTTGTAACTTACTCAGTGCCAGTAGGTTTTGTTGGTTTAGTATGGTAACTCCAGGTTTAACCATTTAAGAAACTGCCAAACGGTTTCCCACAGAGGCTGCGGAAAACAATTTACATTCCCACCAGCAAAGTATCAGGGTTCCAGATGCCCACATGCTTCACAACACTTTTCATTGTCCTTTATATTTTAGCTATCATAGTGAGTGTGAAGTGATATCTCATTGTGGTTTTGATTTGCATTTCTGACTGCTAGCTGCAAGGTCGGAGTTCAAACCCACCAGTCTCTCTGCAGGAGAAAGATGATGCTTCTTGCTCTCATAAAGATTTAGAGCCTCAGAAACCCTATACATAGTCTCTGTCTCTAAGAGTTGTAATCAGCTCGATGGCATAGACCTAATGAGTTTTCAAGGAACCTTGATAATGCAACAAGTTAAGTATTGGGATAGGAAACCCTTTGGAGCAATTCTACTCTAGCATATGGATTCTGGTTTGTGTGTGTGTGTGTTTTGAATTACTTTTCATTATGTATCTTTCATGTACTTATTTGTCATTTGTAATTTTCTTTATAGTAATATCTATTCAAGCCCTTTGTCAATTTCAAAAATTGGATTGACTTTTTGTTGTTGAATTATAAGAGTTGTTTATACATTCTAGGTACCAATCCTTTATCAAATAAATGATTTACAAATATTTTCTTCCTTTCTGAGGCTCCTATTTTCTGCACAAGATGATTTTGCATGCTTTTTTCCAAGACCAATGCTTTGAGATAGATGTTATTGATATGGAAATGAAAGTTCAGAGGGAAGTTGGCATTTTAATATAAATTCGACTGACTTTAGAACTCATTCTTTCACTACAACCTGTTCACAAGTATAAATTAGGACACATTTCTGGCTTCAAGGAGCTCAGAGTAACAGAGGCCATAAAACAAGAACACAAATAAATGTTCTATAAAGCAGAGTTCCATTTGTCCTACGAGTGCCATGAGAGGGACAGATGAAGTGCAGTGGGAGATCAAGAGGAGAGAAAGTGAGTACTTCTGGCTGGGGAAATCGGGGTTGGTTTCAGTTAGATGGCATTTGTGTGAAGCCTTAAAGTGTGTACAATTTCTTTGGATGAAATGAATGGGGAGAGCATTTCTAAAGAAGTGTAGAAAATGAGGGTAGAATGAATGAATGAAATCTTGATCCTAAGACTAGCTTTGGATGAAATGAATGGGGAGAGCATTTCTAAAGAAGTGTAGAAAATGAGGGTAGAATGAATGAATGAAACCTTGATCCTAAGACTAGCTGTCATGAGAGCATTCCAGAGCTTGTTGGCATGGGGAATCCTGGAACTGCCTAGCTTGGAGGATCCAAGACTGATTAAAGTGGGTTATCTAGGAGTTTGGAGTCCTGGTGTGGCGTTGTTGGTTAATGCGCCAGACTGCAAAGCCATTTGAACTGCAAGGTTGGCGGTTCAAGCTCACCAGCTGCCCCTCGGAAACCCTATACAGGGTCGCTATGGGTCGGAACCGACTCGACGGCACTTAACAACAACAATCTAGGAATTTGGCTAGGATAGAGAGTTTAGGGGCTTCCTTGGGATGTGTTCATTTGTGGGTGGGGCTGGGGACCGGCTAAGCTAGAGGGACCCAGGGTTGACTTGGATGTAGGCTGAAGGGAGGTCGCCTGAGATGTTGACTGGGATGGGGAATCTAACTCTGGTTAAGATTGGCAGACGTAGTGGTTGGGATAGGGAATCCACCTGGGGGCTGTCTGGATGGCTTAGACCTGAGGAACGTTGGAGTGGGCTGGGATGGAGGGCTTCAATAGGCTGCATTAGGTGAAAATCCTTGAACCGGTGGCATGGCAAGATATCCAGCAGACTTGTTACAGACTGGCTCCAGTCTGGGTCTGATGCTGGTGCCTTGGAGTCAGTCGGGCGGCTAGTGCGGGTGAAGGCGGTCGGAGGGGGGCGCGGGGATGGGACAGGCAAGCGGGAGGGGGAGTAGGGACGGGA